CCTCTGGTGGCCCCATCAGTGACTATATCTCCACAGCTACCACCCTATTCCGAACTATACCATCTTTTGCTGTTACTAAACAATAGCTTCCACTCCTAAACCCTCTAATCCATTCCCCACACAACAGTGAAAGTGATTTTTATTAAAATTTAGGTTATGTCACTCTCCTATATAACCCCGTTATCTGTGGCCATTTAATGTTAAGTATAATCCAAAATCTACTATGGCCTACAAAACCCCAAAAGACCCAAACCCTGCCCATCTCTCTGTCCTTCTGTTATACTTACCTTCTCGTTCACCACCATTCATCCACAGTGGCCTTTTAGTTGCTAAAATATAATAAGCTCTTTCCAATCCAGAGGGCCTGTGTATACATTGTTTCCTTTGCCCAAACCCCTTCCCAGTTCTCTGCAATGCTAGCTCCTTCTCCTCCTTTAGGTCTCAGTTGAAACAGTGTATTGACTATTCCATACCTCTACATAACAGGGAAATGGGGCAGCAACCTGATTAGAGCTGGGAAAGGGGACACCTAGGGGACTTGTCCCAAAGCTGCATTTGCATAGCAAACATGCTGTCTTTACTTAGATTAAATATAGATCAATAAAAATGTCAATGTTTTCTTAAAATGTTTTTATTCAAACTTTATGTAAGATATATAGGGATATCATCTGTCCATAAAAATACAATTTGAAGTGCCTTGGGGGAAGTGGTAAGAAATTCCAAAGAGCCTAGAGAAGTAGACAAGGACTAAAGAGGGTTTTTTAAATTTTTACCTTAAAAGCGATGTGAGACTATTTGCATCATTTCAGTAGGGGCACAACATGATCAGACTTACATGATTGGATAAAGAGAGACCAAAGACTGAAAAGCCTGTCAAAATAATTATTATACCTAACATTTATTGAGCATTTAATTGTGAAGGTATTATTCTAAGTGTTTTCCCTTTATTCTAGTGCTTTAGGTATATTAATTCATTTAGTCCCCACAACTACCCAATGTATTATCACATGCATTGTAGAGATGAGGGGAAAAGGCACAGAGTAGTTAAGTGACTTACTCAAGAATTACAAAGCTAGTAAGCGGCAGAGATAATATTCAAACCCAGAGTCCAGTTCAAAACTCATGCTCTTTGTCAATATGTTTAATGCTTCCCATTTTCTCTAATAGATTAGGGCAATAACACAGACTTGAAATTGCAAGGGTCTGATACATGGTAAAAATGATGGAAAGCTGGAGAGATATGTGAGAGAGATTTGGGAAATAAAATTGAGAATGTGAGGGAACAACTGTGAAGCATAAGGGACAGAGGAATATAAAAAGACTCTCAAATTTTAATTTCACTAACTAGGTTGTTGATGGTGCCAGTAACAGAGATCTAAAAATACAGAACTCTGGTGGACAAGATAGAAATTATTGGACACGTCATGTTTGAGAAAAAGGTTGCCAGGAAGCAATCAGAGATACTAGTCTGGAGCTCGAAGAAGAGATCTGGGCTAGAGATGAAGATTTAGAGTTCTCATACAAATGTTAAAGGCTTAGGAAGAGCATGTAGAATAAACAAACAGGATTGAGAACAGAATCTGGGGGCATCATCATTTAGGAAGTATAGAAAAAGCAGCCAGCAGAGAAGACTCAGGAAGATGGTCATAAAGCTAAGATACCAGAAGAGAGTGGTGTCATGGAAGCCCAGGGTGGAGTTTCAACAAAGACGAAATTATCTTTAATCCCATTAGAAAGTAGATTATGAAACCATGGAACATGTCTGTTTTGTTCACCAATGTATCTCCAGTGCTTAGAGGCCTGGCACATAGTTAATGGTCAAAAACTTTTCCTTAATATGAATAAGAAAACAAACCAACAATATCAAATACCAGACAAAGTTCTGAGAAGAAAGACTGAGAAGGGTCCATTTTATTTAGCAACCCTGGGTGTCACCAATGATCTTGTCCACAGCAGTTTTAAGTGTTATGGTGGGGCAAAAGTAAAATGGAAGAGGCTTAAAAGAATGTTTTTGTCCATTACTCTTTTACTTTTTTAATTTAAAAAAGGTTCTTAAAAGTTAATGGAAGTTGAGGAAGCTGCAGCCACTAACACAGCCCATTCTTGGATGAAACTGTTACATAGGTTAGGAGGAACCTAGAGCTGCAAGGATAAGGGGCAACAAGATGAAAGGGGATTTTTCCTTAAGAAGGAAACTTGCTTTGTTCACTGTTGAATCGCCGGGGCCTAGCGCAATGCTGGCTGGCCACTTCATGGGCCTTCATGAAGCCTCGAGTAGGCCGGCGGCGGGCTCGCAGGACGCTGTCCAACACTAGCGGGCTCTGGAGCCTTTCCTTTTGGATCAGGCAAAGATCACGCAGCACCCTCGCCCTAAGCTCACCCACCTTGGGCTGCTTTGATATGAAGGCCCCAGAGGACAGTCCGGCTCACCACATAGTAGGGGTGGGTGGGGCAGGCAAAGCTCCGCCCGCTGACAGGCTTTAAACTCCAGGCTCCCCGGTTCCTGCAGGCCCCTCCCGAAGTGTCTCCGGTTCCTCACATGATTGGGGCGAGCCGGAAGTGACGCGACTTGTCGCGCGTGATTGGCGGAAGCACAAATTGCTTTGCGGCCTGCACGGAAATTGCCCTCTTTTCGGCTTCCGCTCCTGGTCCATGTGAGAGACAGGCTGCAGAGATGAGCATGATGTGGGCAGCGGAGAGGTGAGGGGTAAAGATGGGTGGAGTGGTCTGGGTCTCGTTGGGGGCTGGGTTCCCTGGATTTTGAGACGTGGAAGCCGCTTTTTAACAGATGGCACTTGTTCCCTTCCAAAGACCTCGCCATTCGTTACAGTTTCCGCGATCTATCTTTTAAAATCCTTTTAATTTAATTCGCCCCCTTGGCTCTCCAGCTCTGTAGACTCATCCTTGTGGTCCTGATGCGGCTTCTTCCTCTGCAGCTAAGTTAATATGTTGCACTGCTCTCGTCACGTGACTCCTTTTTCTGCCGCTGCTGCGGCGCATTTCAGCGCTCCGCTCAGGCAGTGCCTGCGCTGTAAACTCCCTTGTCTTGGAAACCTTTGGAGTCATCCACGTTTTCTCCTCTGATGTTTCATTACCCCCACCCCTGCCCAGGGAATTAAATATAATCCGTTTAGAACTGTTTGCTTGCAAAGACTGCTATATACTGTTAGACAATAGACTCCATAATTTGTTTCAGAGTACCAATACTCCTTAGTTAAGTACCTACTTTACACAGGTAAAATGGTTTACTCAGCTTCTTTTGTCCAATTTCGTTTCCTCATTCCCGGGAACAAATGATCAAGATGTCACTTTGAGTAAGCTGTACCTATAAAGGTGTCTTTCGTGTGGAGGATTCTTAGAAATGTTAATGGTGAGACTGCCTTGCCTCAAACGACAGCAACAGCGTCTTCTGCCACCGTACCTAGGATCTCCCTACGTAGGGTCTTACATTTTTACAGCCTCCCAGAGGTCAGTGGGCAATGCAGTGCCAGTCACTGAAGAGTTAAATCCTTCATGCAGTTCTGTGTGTTCTGTATGAGTATCACCAACCACTGTTCACCTATTGGAGGTGATGTCTGACAGGCAGTCTAAATTTAATGTCTTGACAAATTTCCAAAGATGTCCACACTGCTTCGTTTGTAGCTCCAGGGGCTATTCTTTGCTGAGAAATGAAGTTATGTTTTAGTTTGTTTAGTTATTTCAAGTGATAATATTTCTCATATCTCTTTTTTCCCCCCTCTTGAATTCCCCCCCCCTTCCAACCCTGACCTATGGTTGTTGCCATCTCCCCTTAAGAACTGGATCTCTGAAGGTGGGGCGTCTCCCACATGCTCATGGTGTGCACCCCGGGGCCTGGCGCCCCTGGGGTCTGGTACCCGCGGCACTCGGGGGGCCTGGCACACCCAGGGCATGGTCCGTGGCTCCATCTGGGCCGCGAACCCAGGACCTTCTGCGTGTAAAGCAGACGTGCTAACCACTACACTATGGAGCCACCCCTCATATCTCTTTTAACAGCCTTCAAGCTTTAAGCGAACAGAAAGAACTAGAGGATTTACCAAAAGACTACCCCTCAAGCACCAGTGAAGATGAGGTGGGTGACAACTGCTAAACTGCCTTCTGCCTTCTCCAGTTTCCTTCTGCCTCAAAATTAGGGTAGCCAGCACATTCCTGGAAAGTGAAGGGGCAGCAACATTGTTTATTGTTTGTTCAGGTCTCGCAAATAAATTACCAAGTTATTTAGTGTTTCACGTATAAGATATTAAGTGCTATGGGAGTTTGAAGACTGTATAAAATACAGTCACTGTCCTCAAGTTGATTAAGTATAATTGAGTATGTGGACCAAAACATATGGTCCTCATTAAACGATTTCCCTATTTCCCAGATTTGGATTTCCGTAGAAAGTTATTTAAGTGTCTGACTAAAATAGACATAATTAAGCTGTGTCTCCAACAGATGCCATAAGAATTCCAACTCTTTATTCTCTTGACAAAACTACTTAGATTTTTTTTTTAATGTGAGAGTTTCTGTGTCGGATCACACTATATATTCCATACAGAAACATCATTTCCATAGCACTTTTCCCCAAACAAGTTAAGGCAGAGGCATAACATTAGCTCCCAGTTACTAAGGCTCTATAAGGAGGGACTTTGGTTTTTGAAGCACTTCTTTCAGACCCGCACACCAGACCTCATCTGATTCCCCCGTTCTCCATTGACCAAAAGAATAAGAGATTTTACATCTTCAATTTCCACACTGTCTTTTCCCTCCCCTCATTATTCTGATGATTTTTCCTTTTCTGTGTCTAGGGGGAAAGTAATGGAGAGCGAAAACATCAAAAGCTTCTGGAAGCAATCAGTTCCCTTGATGGAAAGAATAGGTAACATTCCCACCAGGTTGGACAGGTTATAACTAGCTGATTCCATGAGATTTATCTGCAGCTAACATTTATCGAGACAATAAACACACAAGTGTCACCATCATTATTAAGAGCATACTTTGGAGACAGACAAATTTTTTATCCCTTCTGTACCTCAATTTCTTCAGCTAGAAAATAAGATTAATCATAGTACATACCTCATAGGGTTGTTGCGACATTTAAATGAGGTAATAAATGTAAAGATCTTAAACCAATGCCCAACATATAGTAAATATTATGTAATTGTTAGCTGTTATTGTTAGACCTTTGTGCATTTGAATTCTTACTTAATCCACAACACAGTATTGAAGCATTGAGTAGACATTACTTATCCCCATTAGAGAAGTTAAATGGCTTGCCCCACACTCACTCTGCTCATAAGTGGAAGATCCAGGACTTAAATCCAGGTACATTAGAATCCAAGTCCAATACCTTTTCTACTGTGCCTACCTGGCATTGCCTTGTGTTTTTGAGGGGCTGAGTTTACATTAAGAGATGGTTAGCCTACCAAATCCAGGTTAGAAACATTTCCTGGTTGCTTTGTGACAAAATCTGACTCTAGAAGAGAAATACGTGAAACCAAAGCTTTGTCTGAAGAAAGAAGTGTTTGTTTCCCAGCAAAATGTGTCCATTCCTACTATATTCTGTTTTGCCTAAATTTCAGGAAGAAATTGGCTGAGAGATCTGAGGCTAGTCTGAAAGTGTCAGAGTTCACTGTCAGTTCTGAAGGTAAGTTAACAAAGGAAGCTATCTGCATGAAGCTTGTGGCATTCCCAAAATATAATGGTCACTTCACCCTCCTCCCAGTAACTGTTTTATGGATCATGCCATAAATATTCACCTCTAAGTAGATGAAGAATGGTAGTCAGATGCCTTTAAGTTTCTTCCATTTCTAGAAAAAGCCTAGAAGTCCATGGCCAATGTCTCCCACTGAGCTTGATGAGCTACTTCTAGGATAGAGGGACATGAATGAAGACAGCTGCCATTAACTAGTTTAGCCATGTTCGTGATTTCATTTTTATTTCAGTTCTCACAGCACTTTGAGTTCAGACAGGCAGATAGTCCCTCCCACTGGAGCTCAGAGAAGTCCAGTTACTCAAGGATTTTAACCTGATACCAAGTCTAGATTCCAAATCTTTTTCACCATATTCACAACTTTGGTGACTTGAATGAATTGTACTCTTCTAGTAACCACTAACTAAGCTCCTAGAACAAGTAACAATATATCCTTCTAAACTTATTAATTTAACTTCTATTATGTATCTACTATGCTTCTACTATGTATCAGTTTCAAGAACAGTTTAGATACTGAGCTATAGGAAAGAATAAGATACTGTGATCTCCTGGGGCTTACATTCTAGTGGGGGGAGACAATGAGAATTAAAACGGTGATGCAGTAAAGTGACCAAGTTGCTGCTTTAGTTTGGCTGGTAATTAAAGGTCTGTAAAGAGGCAAAATTTAAGCTGAGATCTGAATGACAAGAAAAATCAATCATGCAAGATAGAGGAAAGCATTCCAGAGGAGGGGGCAGCTAGTGCAAAGCCTCTAAAGAAGAAACAGGCTCAGCATGTTTGAAGAGTAGGAAAAAGGCCAGTGTGACTGGAGCATAGTGGAGATGGGGGTGCTATGAAGTCGGGGAGACAGACCAAGATCCCATATGGGGACCAGATCCCATAGGGCTATGTCCTTTAAATCGATGTAGTCAGCTTGGTTTTTGCATTTTTGCCTTCAACCAACCATGGATCGAAAATACTCAACAACAACAACTACAAAACGCAGAAAGTTCCAAAAAGCAAAACTTGAATTCTCCACACACTGAGCACTAGGCTGAATCCACGCAAATGAAGTGATGTGTAGGCCTACCCTGCTGTAGCCTATATGCAAATATAGGTTACGTGCAAACACTATACCATCTTACATAAGGAACTTGAACATCCTTGGATTTTGGAATCCACAAGGGGTCTTGGAACCAATCCCCCATGGATACCAAGAGATAACTGTAATTCCAAGTGTAATGG